CCTGGTAAATTTCTTGATGGTTCAGGGGTCAGTGGGTCAGATCGGGTCACGTGACTCGAAGCCGGAGGAGACCGGTGAGTGTTCGGGAATTGACGCGATTCATGGGAGGCCTGATCAGGAGGTCGAGGATGCTGTCGATGACTGTGAGGGGCCTTCGGTGAGCTGTACAGTGTGTCTAAAAAGAATGTACCGTCGCCACTACGTGGCGCTGGTGTCGCGAGCCGGTAGTTGGCTGAATCCGCACCAGACCACACATTCCCAAGCGCTAGGTGACAGCTGCGCAGCGGCCGGTAGTAGCGTAAGCCCGAACCTTCGTGACACGACCCCGGGGGGGGGGGGAGGGAGGGGAGCGGGCGGGGCAGCGCGTGTAGGGAGGGGTGCTCCAGCAAGCTGGCAGTTGTCGCGGCCAAAGGTCAAGGGGTCACACACCAAGCGAACGGACGCTGATGTGGGTTCGTGGGGATCATGAACTTGTGTGTGGTAGGTGCGTCTTGCGATGCACGGGTGATACGCCAGGTCTAAGCCAAAGGATTCAGGGGAGAGCTGAAGAAAAACATCTGGTCAACTACGGCGAATAATGGTGCTGAAAAATGGAAAGTGTGGGTCAATGCAAGCCTTCATAACTATAAACAACTTTTCTGAGGACGCAAAGGCCAGCATTTAATAACGATATCCGGATCGAAATTAGCAATGATTTATAATCAAATGCCGAACTAATAGCGCTGCAAAACCCTCCTAGTAAATTGTCAAGTCGGATTATACCCACTTGAATTAAACTATCCTAAATAAAATTGTTAATTAACTTTCTAACACTGACGTTCTTTATCATACGATAAGTATGGGGTTAACCAAGATTCAGCACCTTCCGCGTTCAAACAATCACCTGTAAGGCTAGAACATTAATGGCCAGGTAAAAACATGGTCGGGATTTGATTAACCGGATTATAAGTCGATTTTTTTTAGTCGGGATTTGATAAGTCGGATTTTTTTACGCCAACCGCATTTTCAAGTCAAGTCAGGTCACTGATCTATGACGTCATAAATGAGCAGTCCTAAAATGAACTGTGTGAAACTGTCCTAAACTGTCCTAAAATGAACATTTAAGGACTGTGCTAAAATGTCCCAACTTCGCAACACCCTCAGTACAGAGCTTTCATAGGGAGATAAAACTTACAGGATCTTATAGTTATATGATCGAGAGGTCTCACAACTTGTATAAATGTATATATCGGATTTTCTGAAGGGTCGCCTGAGATCAGGTCAGTCTCTCACCATTAAAAGTCAGGGGAATATGGAAATTGCTAGTTTGGTCCGGAAATGATATACAACTATCTCAAATTCTCAAGCACACGGAATCGTGATTTCATGCGCTCCTTGCAAGGTCTGATGCTTCAATTTTGCTTTGTTGATCTTGCGTGACGTCATTTATCACGTAACTAAGGCTATCAGTTTTTCGTCAATAACTCCCGATCAACTAAAGCTACCGAGTCGATAAAGCCACTAATGGACATGAAAAGACCTGCCGAATCGATTGATATGCAATATGGCCTCCTTTGACCAGCTTCGTGACCTGACGGGCTGTGACCTGACCTTGACCCGAGGTTAACACCTTAACTCTCGCCCGTATTGGTGTTTTTCCAGCCTCAAACGTATAAGGGTCCGTTGGACCCCCCCCTTGCCGTTTCGCCCCTGATCGAGCTAGAGCTTCGCGGAAAAAACGAGCGTGTTGGCCGTGACGAGAGGAAGTCGATGATACCCAATTTTAAGGTCCTAGGTCATCGGTTGACTTTCCAGGTCAGGTCAATGACCCAAAAGTCGGGGAAATCGGGACCTGTTAGAAAGTCGTAAAGCGTGGCTGCTATGGGGTTTTCGGGGTGCTGATCACGAATATCATGTTAGTTTTGATCACAGATGATGTCTTCATGCATTTAGGCCAGGTCGGGTCAGGTCAACCAGTAAGGGTATTCGTAGTAGGTGGCAAGCGCCTCTGACAGCTTCGCAACATGTTACGAGGGCACCAAAACTACTTCGTAAATGTTCATATGGCTGCTAAATTCGAATTCAGCTCCTAAAACTGGCCTAGAAACATGTAAAACTCGAAAAAGTGAACCGAGGTCATCAAAGGTCAATGACCTGACCTGACTTTCCGGTGACCTTGACACCCACCCTAATGCATGGAAGCAAGATCATATCCCATGTTTGAACGCTTAAAACCACGAAAAGACTGCAAACGCGCCGCTAATGCGAGCCGACATACGCCGAATCGCGATTCCGGCCAAACATGGTCTCGAAAAGTAGGTCGCAGGTCAAAGGTCATTAGGGTCAGGGTCATGACAATTTAAGGGTGGGTGTAAAATTGATTAACGCGAGGGTACTGAAAGTTTCGTCGCGATCGGCCGCTTTTTACGCGAGTTATTCGCGAAAAAACCGAGGGAAGGGGTCCGTTCGACCCCCCCCCCCCCCTCTATACGGGCGAGGGTTAAGTTGATCTCACCCGAAGAAAAAGTATACCATTCGACACGCCTGAGCTAGACAAACACGATGCTGCTAAAATCGCGGATCTGCGATCATTTTAGCGAAGTTATTTACCAAAAACCGAACCTGTGCATTGGGCCACTTGACCTGACCTCCGAAGTCATCGGCTGACCCTGGTCCTTAAATCGGAGACCAATCGCTGCATTTCGTAACGATGCACGATCGTTTCTTTCGTGAGGCTCTAGCTCAATTAGGGGCGAATCGCCGAAGGGGGTTGTTTCCTCACTTCCAACCCCCAACGTCCCCTCGGTATTCAGAAAACCTGAAGGTCCGGTGAGGGTTAAAACGTTTCTCCTGAACGAGGAAGAAATGTGAAAGTCAAAGCTCTATAGACGTCCTGAAAAAGTGGCCATAATAATAAATTCGTTAGAAATAAGATGCTTTTTAAACGACTTCCTCATATACGTGTAAAATCGGGTGCTGGGACCAATCTTATAAACGCTTTAGAATGGACAGGGTGTCACTGGCTAAAGTTTGGGTGCAGAAAACGGCTATTACCTAAATGCAAAATGGTTTTCATGCATTTCAGTCAATTGTATATTGTCGGTCCCAGTGGCCGAGCTAAAAAAAATCGGTAGTGTTTTGCATCTTTTACGCCCTAAGAAACTACACCATCTATCGAAGTGGGCGGGCTTATTTGGATGGGAGGGCGCATTATGCACGAATCGTGTGCTTTCGTTTATTTTGGACTGTATTTTACCACATCCACTGCTGGTATCACTATTAATATTATCTAATGCCGTGAATACGACAGCATTCCATTTATAAGATTGGGCCAATGGAGTCGCGCCCCGCGAGCTCGGTTTTCCGCTGGGCCGCTACAGGCCAGGAAGTCGGTCTTCGCCTGAGGGCAGGACAAAGGTCAGCGAGGGAGCGCGGGGTCAGCCAGGTGCCGAGCGAAAGCCGCTCCCTCCCCTCTCTTCCCCTCTTCCCCCCTCCCCACCTCGGTATAGATGGGGAGGGACCGAACTGCCAATGACATGCGAGCGGTCAAGGCCGCTCGCGCGGCAGCGGCCCTGGCGGCCGGGTGCCGCAACTGGGATTCAGCCAAGTTACCGATTCGCCTCCTGTGGGAGAGCCAAACCAGGGGACATACTTTTTAGATATACTGTACAGAGCGATCAGAGTTTGTTCCCTCTAATTCGAAGGAGTCCGAGCGAGCTCACGTGTCGTCGGAGTCAAACCCTGTAGATGCGGGCTCTTGGGGCTGCTCGCCGAGCGAGCTGGGCGAGATGTGTCTGATCGGCTCATCTTCCTAAAGCAGGATTTCGATTGTTGGCCGAGTGAGCCCTCCGAGCGACCCGATGTTCCGACAGACGGGATAAAGGGTCAGTCTCCTGTCTGCACTGCAGTGGAAGAGCTTGCAGTGAAATCTCCCAGCGACAGGATGATCGAGTGTCATTCGAGCTTTCTGACACTGAAGAGGGCGGTAGCATGGTTTCAGAAGTTTTCCGAGTGCGTCCGGAGAGGATCTTTCTGTAGAGCAGTGATTGCGAGAGGATGGGAGCTCAGATCAAGCAGGGAGAGGTGGAGACGCTCATGTTCTGATGCCGACTCAGTTTCGCAGCGTCAGTGGCGACGCGTTCAGTATTTGGCCGATCAATTTTGGCTCAGGTGGACCCGGGAATTCGTACCGACGCTCTAAGTTAGGCAAAGATGGACAGATGTTTCGAGGAACCTGGCACCAGGAGATGTAGTGCTGGTGGTTGACCGAGATGTGCCCAGAGGCCAGTGGCTGATGGGTAGAGTACAGAGAGTTTTCCCGAGCAGTGACAATCTGGTCAGAAAGGTCGCAGTAAAGACTGCGAGCTCTTTGCTCCTCAGACCGATTCACAAACTGGTAGTGATACTGCCAAACACAGACTTGTAGCAGGTGAGTCGTGTGACGATTCGGAAGTTCAGTCGGAAGTTTTCATTTAGTTATCGGTAAGTATAGGTGTTTAGGGACTCACAAGCGTGAGAAATAGGTGCGCGGTCGCGACATTGCGCTCACAGGCGGGGGCTCACGGGTGTGGGCTCAGGTGTGTGCTCACGGGTGTGTGCTCACGGGTGTGGGCTCACGAGTGTGTCCTTGTGAGCGTGGGCTCACGGGTGGGCTCGCCTGCGTGAGCTGGAACTGTTAGATGGCGCAGTACTTAGTGGTAAGATCCGAGAAGTTGTAACTTGTAGGTGTGCATATGTCGGAGAGACCTCGGCGGCGGCGATAGTTGACCGCTTCTGGCGGTCAAGGGGGGAGTGTAGCCGCCGACTACGTTATTATGTTTTTGTTCCTTTCTTTCTTTTCGTTTCCTTTACCGTGCCCTATCCTTCCCTGTTCTGCTCTTTGGTTTCGGTCTGGCTCTTTGTTTGCGCGCTCTAGTTTAGTTTCTGTCTGTGACCTCAGGCTAGGTCACGTGGTGTCTGTGCCCGGGAGCGATGGACCGGGTCAGTGCGGTGAGGGAGAGCGGCGGCGGCCAGGGGCCAGTCTGGTCTGAGTGGCGAGCGGGAGAGCTATACGGCCCGTAGCGAGTGTGAGCGCACAACGAACGGGAGAGTGCACGGGAGAGCGCTCGATAAGTGACGAGAGAGGTGACGAACGGGAGAGCGTTGAGCCGCTTCACCGAGTGCAGCTGGAGTTCCAGTATATCATTCGAGGGCGCAATTGCCGGTAAGAATCTATCTGTACTGATAAGTTTTTGATTGATATTGATGTTCGATGTTTCAATGTTAGAAAGTTTGAGCCAGACCGATCGATTTAGCTATTTATTTACGTAAAATTCAGAAACGATGTTTTAGGGATGTTCGTTGTCGTTTTCAGTGTCATGGCGTTGAACGATGTTGTTCTTTCGCAGCAACGGCAAGTATTGTCGCGCAAAGGCGTGTGTTGGCGAGTACCTATATCGAGTGTTGGCGTTGTGCAATACAGCCAGTCGCGGAGCACGTCCTTTTTTGGTGGAGCACCGGGGAGCGGCTACACTTGGTTTACGACACCAGTGTTTGAAACATGCGAATAAACATGTCTTGTATTCGTTGAGGCACTTTGTTTGGACATTTGCAGGAAGCTACGGATGTTATGTATCCTGAAATATTAAGATTAGTCAACGGTATTATTTTAATATGCACGTGTTTTGATAGCTATAATATGGTTTATAAAAGTAAAAAGATTGTATTAATAGAATCGTACAAGTATATTTTTAGTAGATGAGTGTTTTCGTAGATCACACAGAAAAATATTGACACCGTTAGCGGTGTAATTGCACAGTACATATCTGAGCACTTGAGGAAAGTTAATTTAGTCCCTTCCCCGCTTAAATTACTCGCGCTTCCAAATGAACACCAGGAAGAAGGTAATAGAACACTGTTAGGAGGGTTGGGTGTTTTGCTACATGTAGTAAAACACCCAACCCTCCTAACAGTGTTCTATTACCTTCTTCCTGGTGTTCATTTGGAAGCGCGAGTAATTTAAGCGGGGAAGGGACTAAATTAACTTTCCTCAAGTGCTCAGATATGTACTGTGCAATTACACCGCTAACGGTGTCAATATTTTTCTGTGTGCAGATATGTACTATTTGTTGAAAAGGTCTTCTAGGGTGTTTTGTAACCGCGTAAATGGGGTAACGTAGGGGTAATAGCATACTTTTAAAAAAGCTTCAGGGTAAGTTAACACCGTTAACGTTACATCATGGTGTAGTAAAACACCCAACCCTCCTAACAGTGTTCTATTAGCTTCTTCTTGGTGCTCATTTAGAAGCCAATGCGAGTAATTTAAGCGGGGAAGGGACTAAATTAACCTTCCTCAAGTGCTCAGATATGTACTGTGCAATTACACCGCTAACGGTGTTAATATTTTTTTTGTGTGCGTATTTGACATCGTACACCAATATAAATAGCACCATCGTGTTCCTAAGCCCCAACTGCATACGATAGACACTTTTTTCTTAAAAATTTTCAACTTTAAAATTTAATCTTTTTTACCTAAAAATGGTCTGACCTAAGCTAAATTCAACTCAAAATGACCTCGAATGACATAAACAACATCGAATTAGAAATCTATGGCCTAAATGAACCATAAAACATGTGTCACGTGACCGATGCAAGACATTAGATTTCCGTGACCTGTGATGACCTGACCCTGACCTGAAAATCAAAGTTCAAGTTTGGTATACCAAACTAGATACCCTTAGGGTATCTAAAGCATCTACTCACGAGTATGTAAACCGAAAATGAGCCCGATCTGACTTGTAAGACGGTGACCAGAGCCCAAAATGTGAACAAGCAAATTGTCGATAACTTTTACTTTGACCTGACCTGTGACGTCATCGGTGACCTCGAGGTCAATGAAATTAGGTTCCGATCGACAGTTTTCCGGGGCTATCATTATACGCAGACCCCAGTGGGGTGCGGGTTAATGAGAACTGAGAGGTGCCTGAACTATTGAAATGACAACAAAATATCTTAATTGCAGGGGCGTAACTTTATATCTCTTTGGGGGGCTTGAGTCCCCCTGTGCTGAACTGAGCCCCTCTTGGGAAGCTTAGAGCCCCCCTTGATTAATTTTTAATTCTTGACAAAACACACACAAATAGCAAGACACTAACATCCAATTTCCCCATTTTCCACCATACACATGAGTTTCCAGGTTGGGGGATGATCATGGACTTGTAAACACCCTCGCCCGTATATAGGGGGAGGGGGTCGAACGGACCCGCCCCCCTCGGTTTTCGCGAATAACTCGCGTAAAAAGCGTCCGATCGCAACAAAACTTTGAGTACCCTCGCGTGATTCAATTTCACACCTACCCCGAAAATTTCATGACCCTGACTCAAATGACCTTTGACCTGTGACCTACTTTTCGAGATCATGCTTGGTCGTAAATCGGAATCGCGATTCGGCGTATGTCTGCTCGCATTAGCCGCGCGTTTGCAGTCTTTTCGTGGTTTCAAACATGTGATATGATGTTGCTCCCAATGCATTAAGGTGGGTGTGAAGGTCACCTGAAGGTCAGGTCAGGTCATTGACCTTTGATGACCTCGGTTCACTTTTTCGAGTTTTACATGTTTCTAGGCTAGTTTTTGGAGCTGAATTGGAATTTGGCAACCATATGGACATTTACGAAGTAGTTTTGGTGCCCTCCTAATAGGTTACGAAGCTGTCAGAGGTGGTTGACACCTACTATGAATACCTGGCAGGACCCCTACTGGTTGACTTCACTTGACCTGACCTGACCCGACCCGACCTAGCCTAAATGCATCTAGTCTAGAACCATGTAAAACTCGAAAAAAGTGAACCGAGGTCATCAAAGGTCAATGACCTGACTTGATCTTCCGGTGACCTTGACATCCACCCTAATGCATGGGAGCCACATTACATCCCATGTTGAACGCTTAAAACCACGAAAAGACTGCAAACGCGCGGCTAATGCGAGTCGACATGCGCCGAATTGCGATTCCGGCCAAACATGGTCTCGAAAAGCAGGTCACAGGTCAAAGGTCATTTGGACAAGGGTCATGAAATTTTCAGGGTAGGTGTAAAATTGATTAACGCGAGTATACTGAAAGTTTCGTCGCGATCTGCCGCTGTTTACGCGAGTATTCGCAAAAAAAAACGAAGGGTTCGCTTCGTCCTGTCGACCCCCCCCCCCCCCATACGGGCGAGGGTTAACATGAGCCCCATGGGCGTTGCATGGAAAGAATGGGACCAAAAGTCGGCAGTGCTCCCCCCCCCCTTAAATGAAAGTGTTCCGCCGCTACTGGGTAGATGTGGATCGGTGGTTAAACCTGCGCCTGGGTCTCTGAGTTCCAGTCAGCTTCACCGTCGTGCAGGGCGTCCCATTATTTCAATTATTTCAGAGGCTAAGATAAAAAGATTCGTAAAAAGCGATCGACTGCTCCAAACAAATGGGTCCCTCCAACAATGCCTAGGCCAATTTTTGTATGTCCTGCTTACTTCTCCATTGTCCCTTCGTAAGATCACAGATATAAAATCCGAATTACACGAATTGCTTGCGCCGTTACCTTTACATTACTGTGCAGTGCTGCAGAGTCGATTGATCGACTCTTTCTGTACCATTGACAACAGATATGCTCCTAAAACCCACAGCACGGTAAAACTGAATTGTGGTACCTATGAGCCTTTTTCTTTTGACTGAATGTTTCTTGACCAGTGGCGGATCCAGAAAGCGGTCCTGGACGCTACAGATTGGGGATATCCATAAAAAGTTTCTCCAATTTCCAAAAACTCGCCGGATTTCGATTCCTTACGCACTGCTAAGTGCTGAGCAGTTTAAAACAAACTCAAACTTCTAGGATATAAGCTATACGGTTGAAAGGGCCTCAGTTTTTTATATGCAAGGCCACTTGACTTGGTGATCAGATCTTAGGTGCTCTGCCTCTGGCATCAAACTTGTTACACAGGCTGCAAAAGTCATGTTTTAGAGCTGTTTTGCCAAGTGATTTTGCCAATTTTCGCGGCGCTTCGCGCCGCCAATTCATACTCGAGTCAAAAACAGATCGGGAGTTGTAACCCTCGTTAAGCACCCTCATCAAGCATGTGATTAAGCACCCTCACACGCAGACGCAGGCATGTATATGCATTACCATAGACCACTATATATCGTATATACGTATATAGTGGTCTATGGCATTACCTATCAGACTGCGGTGGCACATGTAATTGTTATGTATACCTCGTAGAAGACAAAAGGCTTTACCATTAACGATGTCAAATGGAAACGGACTTCAGACTGTACTGTGTAGGCATTTGACCCATACCATTAGACATATAGTGCATCGGCCTGACAAAGAACAGTAACAATATCTATAGGTTTAAGTTTTTAGCCGGCCGATCCGTCCCTCCTGTCGAAAACCCGTAGGTAGGTACGTACAGACATCCCAAATATGGAAAGTTTTGCTGCTGACTGCTGAGCCCCCCCCCCCCCCCCCCCCTGACAATATCATAAAGTTACACCCCTGCTTAATTGTAAAAGCTTCGGCAGGTCCTGAAGCGGCCGTTTTCTAAAGTCGGTTGAAATTCTTCCACTCATTCAAAAATGATCGCGAAAAAAGTAGGGTCTCAAGGGGTGTGACGTCAACAGTAAGTCCATTTTCACGAATCCCTACCAGTACCACCCATGTAGGAAGATCCTACCTACAAAGTACAAGGTGCTACCTACAAAGTACAAGGTGCTAATTGCTTATGCTATGTATATTGCTTACCTTCTCCGGAGTAAGAAGGCCATGGCGATCGTGATCCGTGAGCCCCCTATCACTCAACAACGCTTCCCGCTTCATGGGCACCACTATCAGCATTCGATTTTTCGATGTGTAAGCTCGAGTATCATCCTGCAGCTCATTGCTCGTCAAATAGTCATTCATGCGCTCTTTGAAGCTAGCCTCCGATCTGTTGTCGTAGTCCAGTGTCTTCGTCAGATAGCCCATGTAGAAGGCCCAAGCAGCGCCCTGGGCATAGCTGATTTGCGAGCTTTCCAAAACCTCTTCCAGGAGAACCTTCGGCGTACCGACATAGTTAAGAGTCACTGCCAGTATCGGGGCGATCAGCACCAGGAACCAGTGGCTGAGCATCAGCCATAGCACCTCCGACGACACCACAAGCTGAACAATAACGATCCCCAGAAGCGCCAGGAAAGTGTGCTTGTCAAGCTCTTGGAGGCCGTGGCTCCCGGCGCCCGTCGGGAGGCCCAAACACTGCCACACTTTCCACTCGCCACCCTTCGAGACAAGGAGGCGAGCGCCGGTCGAGACAAGGAGGCGAGCGCCGGTCAGGCAGAGACCGCACAGGCACACTTGAGTGAACGCGAGCCACAGGCCGTAATTAAAGCTCCATATGGCGTACACAGGCACAGCCACCGCCCCCGGCCAGAAACACCGCTTGCTCATTAGCGAGCCGCAGCTCTCCTCAGTCGACGGCATGGCTGGAGCTCGCCTCCCGGCGCCCGGCGTGCGGCTCGGCTCGACACGGAGTGGCCGTCCGCTCCGACCGCGTGGCGCGGCGATAGCGCCCTGGCGAATCAGCATGGGGCGGCCGGCGAGTGTCGAGTTCTGATGACATCATGCTTCTAATCGTTGGTGGGGTTGCTTGGCCTTCGTGTTCATCAACTGACGCCGTGAGATGTTTATCGCGATGCTCAATGGCAGAGACAAGGGCAAAGAGACGCGGTACGGGACTAAGTGTGCAGTGGTTTATTTGTACACTGCTGTGCGGTAGACCCGTGCGTGTCAAATGCTGCCCCCTCTCGGATGAGAGTCCCGTTCGTGGTGTCTGCATACAATATGCAGTGTGGTTCCGTTGGACGGGACACGGGTGGCGGGTCACCCCCGTCTCCCTGGCCCTCTCGTGAGTCATGCCGGATGGATGACTCGCGGTAGCCTATACGCTGTCGAACGTCAGAGGGACATTTGATTGCAGCAATGGCAAGCAAGGGTATAGGCGACGGCCGACGGTATAGGCAAGAGTGTAAGCTGCAAGACACTGATTGCTTATCATGCACGGATACACTCGGGAAGGCTGCCAGCAGTCACCCATCCCATGCTGGTCATATGATACGTTATCGTCATCCGCAACAGCCGTTAGCGATGACATCCCTATTACCTACTCGAGTTGCTTTGACCTTTGAAAAAAGAGTTGCTTTGACCGTTACACATACCTACCAGACGGAACAGTTACATTTCCCGTTTGGTTTGTACCCATGGCGGATCCAGGGGCGGATTGCATTTGGGGCAAATAAGCACGCAGCGCCCGAAATCGACGAAAATTTGAGGTTTTGAGAATATAACGAAAACATAATCATTTTCATGAAAAAAGTTTGTGTTAAACCGCACAGAATTTCATAACGAATCGAAGATCAATGAGTTTTTTAACCCGCGCCCCGCTGGGGGGGGGGGCAGAATCTGCCCCCCTCCCGTTTTTCGCCAATAACTTCTAAACGCGTTACGCCAGCAACGTCAAACTTTCAGTACCTTATCATACATCAATTTGACACGTTTCCTGAAAATTTGAGCGAAATCCGTCGGAAAATTTTTAAGAAATTGACGTTTTAGTGACGTCATGTTCGTCATTTTCGCCTCAAAAACGGCAAAATTTCAAACGCCGCTAACATCTTCATTTTGTAAGGAATCAAGACGTAACAAAAAAGATTATACGTGATTTTACTTTGTCTATCAAATGGCTATCTCGGTTTTTTGAAAATTTTGGATTTTGGCCCAATTTTTTTTTCAAAAAACTGACTTTTGGGAAAATATTTATAAAATACAAAATTTTGAGTTTATCGAAAAAACCGGAATACATGTCAAAGAAGTGGTCTAAGTGCACCTACATACCAATTTTTAGAAGAATCGGTTCAAAAATGTGGGAGTTATTCAAAATTTTATGACGTCACGACAAACAAAATTTTTGAAAAATGATTTTTTGGAAGTTCTAGGCCTCATACGGAAACAAAAATAGCACCATTCGATTTGCCGTGAAAAACTGCATCAGATAGACACCTTTTTAGGCCTTAACAACCAACTTCAAAATTTGACCTCACTTGACCTGACCTTGACCTGACCTCGACCTGAAATTCAACCAGATGTGGTCCATATTACCTATTGAGTGTGCCTATTTAATTCTATGAGTAAAATGACCCATAAAACATGTGTCGCACATGCCCTTTTCTATATTTTGTTTTTGGTGACCTAACCTGACCTGACCTGACCTTGACCTTGACCTTTGAATGACATTGTATGCAACGAATATTGTCTTGGTAGTCTAAGAACACGTTTTGGACAATCAGTCTCAGTCCATTCTTCGGCAACTACGGTGCAAGGCCGATACTGTAGAAACTTGCATTTTGTACCCTTGACCTGACCTTGACCTGACCTCTGACCTACTTAAGCAAAAAAATTGGGCTCTTAAGATCCGCCTCGTTGAGAGCTTCCGATTGCCGTTTTCCCCGTCTTTCTACGACCATCGGTTCGGAAGTTAGACAGGGGGGGGGCAGAATCTGCCCCCCCCCCCCCCAGCAGGGCGCGTATGGCTGAATAGCCCAGCGGGGCGCGGGTTAATTTCGAGAAACTTGGAAGTATGCCCCCACCCCGCAGCGTCAAAGTTTCTGGATCCACCAATTTTTTGCTGTACACACATATCTATACGCTGTAACACATATCTACTAACCCCCATCAACAGATGAGCTATCCCATTACTGTCGGAGAAGTCCCACTAGCTGTCAGACGGAGCTGTCCCACTACTGTCAGACGGAGCTGTCCCACCATACCGTCAGACGGAGCTATCCCACCTGTCAGACGGAGCTATCCTACTATACTGTCAGACGGAGCTGTCCCACTACTGTCAGACGGAGCTGTCCCACTACTGTCAGACGGAGCTGTCCCACTACTGTCAGACGGAGCAGTCCTACACTGTCAGACGGAGCTGTCCCACCATACCGTCAGACGGAGCTATCCCGCCTGTCAGACGGAGCTATCCTACTATACTGTCAGACGGAGCTGTCCCACTACTGTCAGACGGAGCTGTCCCACTACTGTCAGACGGAGCAGTCCTACACTGTCAGACGGAGCTGTCCCACCATACCGTCAGACGGAGCTATCCCACCTGTCAGACGGAGCTATCCTACTATACTGTCAGACGGAGCTGTCCCACTACTGTCAGACGGAGCTGTCCCACTACTGTCAGACGGAGCAGTCCTACACTGTCAGACGGAGCTATCCCACCTGTCAGACGGAGCTGTCCTACTATACTGTCAGACGGAGCTGTCCCATTACTGTCAGACGGAGCTGTCCCACTACTGTCAGACGGAGCAGTCCTACACTGTCAGACGGAGCTGTCCCACTACTGTCAGACGGAGCTGTCCCACCATACCGTCAGACGGAGCTGTCCTACTACTGTCAGACGGAGCTGTCCCACTACGACGGAGCAGTCCTACTACAGGGTGACACAAAAAAGCGGTCATCACCAAAATTCGAATAACTTCGGAAGTTTTATTCAGATCATCACCAAACTTCGGCCACTTTAGGTCACACCTATGTAGCAGACATCCACCAAGTTTCAAGTCTTCACTACAAATACTTTTAGTACAGTGTGTGTTTTACGGACGCTCCACAATGTGCTCCAGGTGAGCGCCCCGGCGCTGCAGGGCGTAGGCACACCTGCATCCGGCGGGCAAAGTTGCCGATAACCCGATAAGAATAACGTTTCAGGGGTAGCACACCCCCTGAGCACTGTCTCCAGAGGCCATTGCACTCTGTAAAGTGCACTTTGTTAGAAGGAGCTGTCTGATTACTGTCAGACCGCAGACGGATCTATCCCACCTGTCAGATGGAACTGTCATACGAAGCTGTCAGGCGGAGCTATCCCAGTTAACCCGCGCCCCGTAGGGCTATCGGCGGGCCCTGCCATCCGTGGGGGTGGGGGATGGGGGTGGGGTGCGTTTCGCCCCTCCCCTAAGATCTCGGAAAGTTACCGACCTATTTTCAAAATTTAAACGGTGTTCGATAGATAATTAATACGACAGATAATTAATACGACATTAATTAATACGACATAATTAAACGACATTTATTCACTATTCAGTCGTCACTTTGATCTGAGATGCTTTCGGTAAGCAAGGCTAGTCTATTGTCTACCAAAAGCAGTGCGAAATGACTGCTTGCTTGCGAAATGTTTGCTGATTAGATATGCCGCTTAACACAGGTATTGTAAAATTCACAAAACGCCCAGGCACCTGGTTTGTAAAACGCCCATACCATTTTCACATGTAAAAATGTCTTACATTTCAAAAGTGGGTTAATTGCGATGTATTGTTGCCGTCGGGTAAAGAGGTGACAAAAACATTGCAAACAGTGATTTTTTGCAATGGGTCAGTTTATTGAGCCAGCCAACTTTGCTTGCAATTGCTGAAGTATCGTTTGTTTTCGAAACGGTACTCCATCTAATTCGATGCTCCTAAGACCATGCGCGACCTTATTGCGTTTCTATTTACCTAAACAATAGAGTAGTACGGCTGAAGTGAAAACGGAATATTAAATGCATTGTCTATGCAAACGAAATTCATCAACAGGTCACAACCAAAGTGGGGCGTTTTACAACAACCGTCTTGTTTGCAGAGGTATTGCAAAAGCTCATTCTTGCTGGAATGCAACATCCGAGTGCCTTGCGTATTATTTTGTTATGGAGCGAGCGAAGCGAGCGGAGTCTTTCCTTAGATTAACGGAAATTTCTGAGTATGAGCGGCCGGCCGGCCGGCCGGCCGTGCGGACGCTTTCGCGAGGCTTGGGTATATCTCAGCAGCCACTTGACCGATTTACATGCGGTAATTTGTGTAGGGTAGCTTCATTCCTTCTACCAAGCATTGGACTATTCCCGATGCATGTGGGTGACCCCTTATGCACGTGCCACGTGCAAAACGAAGAGGTGTCAGTTTTATAATTGTTGCAATATCTCGGTAACTACTTGGCCGATTGCGCTCAAAGTTGGCATGTAGATAGGAAACCAATAGGCAATGCATATATCCATATGCCAGAGTTGGGGTGCTGCTGCACGTGCGCACGTGCGGGGTCGTTTCCAGATCTCGGGAACGGCTGGACCGATGGCGCTCAAATTTGGTACACGGTTAGGGACCAGTTAGTAGGGTGCCGTGCAAAAGTCAGATGGGACCCATTTTGCACGTGCGCACGTGCAGGGTGCCGCTTCCAGATCTCGAGAACGGCTGGACCGATTGTGCTCAAATTTGGCACATCGCTAGAGACCGCTTAGTTGGGCGCCGTGCACAAGTCAGTTGGAGGTACCCCCTCGAAATTCCGCACGTGCAAGGCTTATCCTCTCGCTCGCTCCGTTAGTCGCCCCAAAAGGCGTTATACTGGTTCAATTAAAGGGACCCTCCCACCTTCAAAAAAGTTAATGAATTGGCATGAAAGTGATGTCGCTCGGTTCAGAAAGAGCAAAAACGAATATCTACCAAATTTCATCGAAAAATATTCACCGGTTTTCAAGATATTAGACTTTTACTTTTGTTTACTTTTTGGGATCCCCGCTGTTCCTAGCGACTTTATTTGAAAGTGCGGCATTTGTTGCGCGCAAAGCAGCATATACCACCGCGTGCTACAAAACGTTTTAGTCAAACATTTAACGGACGTTCGAAAGCCTGATGACGTCATCAGATTCCCGTAATGGTTAAGAGGTAGGGACCACGCTGGTCCCACCCTGCAAGTAAAGGGAAGAAATTTCTTGAACACCATAAAGCTGCGGGGGTTGCGACCAGGATAAATGGTGGTTTCTGAGCCTGGCCGCAAACTTGGCTATCTCAACTCAAAACTAATGTTAAGGTGGGAGGGTCCCTTTAAGTCGGAAGATAAGACTTTAACATAATACCTAATGACGCATGGTGAAATAACCAGTTTAGAGGTGACACACCGTTTTTCTTTAACCCGCGCCCAAGTGTGGGGGGTGTTTGAACACCCCCCTTTCGGTTTTTCGCAGATATCTCAAAAACGGCGGCGCGGAGCGCCGCCGTTTTTGGTACACCTTATCATACATCGATTCTACACATTTTGTGAAAATTTCAGACCAAGGTCATTCAAGGTCAGGTCACCAGGTCACTTGACGTGACCTCACCTCATAAAAAGTTTCAATGTCTGCCATAGCTACACCGAGTGACCGATCACTTTGAAACTTTCAGCGATTGATGAGGGTAACAGTATCTATAAAATGTATATCTCGGAATTTTTATATCGGTGACCTAAGGTCAGGTCAATTTTGCGGCCTCTCCATTATAAGTCAATGGGAGAAAATTGAAAAGCGTCTGTTTTGCACGAACGCCATTCTAGACAATCTCAAACATCGAGATGTAGGTAAAATTGACACACTGAACCGGAAAATGGCAACTGTGACCCCTCGTTATGTCCCCGAGGTCATCTCAGGTCACGAACAAAATCGAACAGTTTTTCGCTAATAACTTCTGATAGAGGCGTGCTAGAGGGCTGAAAACGCCTTATATGTGTTCGGCTCGACGTTGCGGATCGGCTGATATGCAACATGACCTTTTCCGGTCAGGTCATGACCTTGACCTAAGGTCAAATTTTCAAGTTGACCATTCAAGGTCAACTTATAGTTCATTCGACGCGTCTCGACGAGAGGAACACGATGCTGGCAAAAGTAATGTCATGGCTCTTTTGAGTCAAAAGTTATCGCCGAAAAAACGATTTTCGTAAAAACTGCTATTTTTGGAGTTTTTGCCCTCTGGAGGCTAAACCGTTGACCTGAGGTCAAATCTGAGAACATTGCTCAGAAAGGTCTGTAAAATGGCTATCGAATGCGCTTTTCCGCGGCGCTGTAGCTCTATCGGTTCCCGAGATAGCCGTTGGCAGTTTCCAAAATGTTGAAATAGTCAACATTTTACCTTAAGTGACCTCTGGTGACCTGACCTTTGACCTGACCCAAAAAGTGACCTAAGTGTTTTCGTCCTTATTTTTGACGTCCTTTCGATTGCCGCTTACCGCGTGTCGCTACGTGGCCCAGGAGCCGAGCTAGAAGGGGGGTGTTCAAACACCCCCCCCCCCCACACACCAGGTCGTGGAAAATCCAGACTGACACTGGGGCGCGGGTTAACCCGCGCGGGGCTGGGGGAGGGTAAATTTTACCCCCTCGCGAATTTTTGCAATATCTAAAAACGGCGGCGCGCAGCGCCGCCAAACTTTCAGTACCTTTTCTTACATCAATTAGACACGTTCCCTGAAAATTTGAGCGAAATCCTTCGGAAATTTTTTGAGAAAATGACGTTTTAGTGATGTTATGTTCGCCATTTTCGCCTCAAAAACGGCAAAATTTCAAACGCCGCTAACATCTTCATTTTTAAGGGAATCAAGACGTAACAAAAAAGGTTATACGTGATTCTACTTTGTCTATCAAATGGCTGTCTTGGTTTTTTGAAAATTTTTGATTTTGGCCCAATTTTTTTTCTTAAGAAAACTGACTTTTTTGGGAAAACAATTATAAAATCCAAAATTTTGCGTGTATCGAAAAAAACCCCATATATGTCAGAGAAGTATTCCATGTGCACATGCATATCAATTTTTAGAAGAATCGGTTAAAAAATGTGGGAGTTATTTAAAATTTTATGTCGTCACGACAAGCAAATTTTTTGAAAAATGATTTTTTTTTTGAAGTTCTAGACCTCGTACGGAAACAAGAATAGCACCATTCGATTCGCCGTGAAAAACTGCATCACATAGACACCTTTTTAGGCCTTAACAACCAACTTCAAAATTTGGCCTCACTTGACCTGACCTTGACCTGACCTCGACCTGAAATTCAACCAGATGTGGTCCATATTACCTATTGAGTGTGCCTATTGAATTCTATGAATAAAATGACCCATAAAACATGTGTCGCACATGCCCTTTTCTATATTTTGTTTTTGGTGACCTGACCTGACCAGACCTTGACCTTGACCTCTGAATGTTAATGAAATGGGTAACATATGCAAGGAATATTGTCTTGGTAGCCTAAGAACACGTTTTGGGCAATCAGTCTCAGTCCATGACTCCATTCTTCGGCAACTAACCGGCAACTACGGTGCAAGGCCGATACTGTAGACATTTGCAATTTGTACCCTTGACCTGACCTTGACCTCAAACTTTAAATTAAGTACATGTTTTTAGTTGTTCGTGATGAGATCTTTCGATTGGCGTTTGAATTTTCCAAATCGGACCATTAGTTAGGGAGATAACAGGGGGGGGGGTAAAATTTACCCCCCCCCCCAGCCCCGCGCGTTCGGCTGGAGACCCCAGCCCCGCGCGGGTTAAGGGGGGCGTTTTGCACGGTTCTCCTCTAAGAGAAAAGGAGCACTAAATACGTAATAAGCACCTGTAAAAATTCCTAAATTGCATCAATTCGTTCATTACGCCTAATGTGCTGACGGTTGCTGGTTACCACTGTCGGTGTGTAATTGTGTTGCAGGTACTACATGGACCAGGGCGTGGTGGGCAGCTCTGGCGGTCGTCTCGGCGGCCTGCGCGTCTGGACAGAGCGCGACTCGCCCCAGCGGGAGCGTCAACTCATCTGGCGACTGGTGAACGCACAGGGCGCCGGCTGGCGGCTGGCCCGGGCACCTATACAAAACGCAGACGGAGTACAGGTAGGACAGGAAGGGATCTTCCCAGCCCCAGGTGCATGCGAGGGGTGGTTGCCAATATGAGTAACACGAGAAAGCCTGCAGAAGTGCGACAGTGGGAGGCAGATATGCGACAGGTAGGCGTGATACAGATGATGATTCACGCGTCACGGGTGATTCATAATAGAATGCGGTCAGATCATACACTGGCGGATCCAGGGGGGGGGGGGCATTTAGGGCCATGGCCCCCCCCCCCCCAAAGGCCTAAAGTGGCCTGTTTGGCCCCCCCCCAAAACGTCAGAAAAATTGCTAAGAAAATATACCTTGATGGAGGTTTTTAGCCACTTGGTGAAGTAAAGCTTTCCACAGCATAATATGGAGGCAATATGGTAGCAGTGAGGGTCAGTCAAAAGTTGCGCGAGCGGAGTCGCCACCTTAAAAAAAAGACTGTGGTTGGCACGTGTTTATGGCGCGGCAGCTGGTAGTTGGCGGTGTTTCGCGTGGTGTGGCATCACTGGCGGATCCAGGGGGGGGGGGGGGGGCACGGGAGCCTGAGGTGCCCCTGACAGCAGGCCCGTGGTGCCCTTGCTAAGCCTGTGGTGCCCCTGGACCCTGGCAGGCCTGTGGTGCCTCTGGCGGGCCTAGGGTGCCCCTGCTAGGCTGCTGATGCCCCTGGGACCTGACAGGACTGTGGTGCCCCTGACAAGCCTAAAGTGCCCCCAACAGACCCGTGATGCCCCCGACAGGCCCAAGGTGCCCCTGCGTGATGCCGTGATGCCTGCGAGGCCGGTGGGGCCCCTGACAGGCCCATGGTGCCCCTGCGAGGCCCGTGGTGCCCCTGCTAGACCGGTGGTGCCCCTGGCAGGCCTGTGATGCCCCTGCTAGGCCGCTGGTGCCCCTGGGCCCTGACAGGACTATGGTGCCCCTGTAAGGCCTATGGTACCCCTGCTAGGCCTCTGGTGCCCCTGACAGACCCATGGTGCCCCTGCGAGGCCGGTGGTGCCCCTGGCAGGTCTCCGGTGTCCCTGACAGACCTGGGGTGCCCCTGACAAGCCTGTGGGGCCCCTCACAGGCCCGTGGTGCCCTTGCTAGGCCTGTGGTGCCCCTGGCGGGCTGGTGGTGCCCGGTGCCCCTGCTAGGTCGGTGGTGCCCCTGACAGGCCTGTGGTGCCCCCGGGCACCAAGGGGGTCATGACCCATGTGGCCCCCCTTGGATCTGCCACTGATACGTTATGGCTTATGCAATATGCAATTGCAGGCACTTGGTATCCCTCACTTATCCCTCATTGGGGGCTCTGGCGGGCTCCTGAGGGCCCACGTCTATTTCCGGGAGCCCTAGACGGGCTCCTTTGGGTCCTTTCAGTCCACTATAGCATAAGAGGTCTCCACGCGAGTCCTATACATCTGAGGGCGTACCCTGACGTCTGAGGTACCCAAATGCAGCTCCAATGGTCTCTTACACTGGCGGATCCAGGGAGGGGGCATTGAGGGTCATGCCCCCTTCCCAGAGGCCTAAAGTGTCCCGTTTGCCCCCTCCCCCAAACGATAATGAAACATAGATCAATCAGTGCGTGGCCCAGGAGCCGAGTTAGACAGGGGGTGTTTTACCACCTCCCGGCCCGCAAAGGCACCCAAGCACTGACTCGAAGCGGGTTAACTGGTCGACAAAAGCAATGGTAAGTGTTTACAAAGTAATATAAAGGCATGGCTCGGGTGGGCTACCATTTATATATTTTTTCTTTTTAGTTAAAAAAAAAAATATTCATAGTGTCAGGGCTGTGACGAAAAATAAGTGGCCTAAATCCGATGAGAAACAGGATTTGGGGGTACCCTAGGTTTGGCTCCTGCATGAGTTGGCCCCCCCCCCCCAAAACGCAAGCCTGGATCCGCCAGTGAGATCATAGTGATGAATCACGGACTGTCTTTATGTGTGTTTGTGTGTGTAAGCGTGCGCTGTGCTTGCTTTATGTGTAATTGTACGTTGCAAATATCTATGTCATGGCCCCGTTGTCTCGTTCCCTGTCCGGCAGCTGGAGTTGGAGGGCTCGTGGGCCGCTGGCGCCGGTCGGCACGGCGTCATCGCCGTAGACGACATCGTGCTGCTGGATGGGGACTGCACGCCGGCGCCGCCGCAGAGCCGGCCCGCCGCCGGCGACTGCGACTTCACCCACGACGCGTGCGGCTGGAGCAACTCAACGACGGACGAGCGGCGGCAGCAGCGGTGGCGGCTGGCCGCGCCGCTGGCCGCGCAGGCGCCGCGCATCCTCCTCACCGACCACACGTTCAGGGACGCCGGCGGCTACATCTACTTCGACCTGTTCAGCCCGCAGGACCGGCGCGAGCAGCTGCGCATGGTGTCGCCGCTGCTGGAGCCCGCTGCCACCAGCGGCGGCGGCGGCGGCGCGTGCGTGGCTTTCTGGCTGGCGCACCTGTCTCCCTCTGAGCCGACCCAGCTGCGCGTGCTGCTCGAGGTGGTCACCTCCGGTGTCGGGGATGAGGCTCAGTTCGGCGAGCCGACCGTGCTGTGGTCGGTGCGTGCCTCGGAGACCGGCGCCCGCCGGCTCACCTGGCTCTACGGCCAGGCCGGCTTCAGGGCGACGCAGAGCTACCGCGTCACGTTCGAAGGCGACGCCAGCAAGTACGGCTTCGCGCTGGACGACATCACGTTTACCTCCGGCGACTGCGAAGGTAAGCTGAGCCGACCGGTGCGCTACGGGCTACACTCGTGACTATGGAATACTGTTTCATTTACTGCCACCATTTAGAGTTGTTCGAGTCTCATGGGGGAGAAAGGGGTGCGGCAATCACTGCATTTTTTCTCGTTCACATTCTCGAGTCTCAGTCTTGATGTCACTGAGCCACAGGCAGGATGCTGGTTCCGGAAGCGACGCCCTGCACGATATCGCGCCGACAAAACACATCCGACGGAGGTTGTTGCATGATGCACCCTGACCGCTCCGGAGCTATGTCATCAGATTATGTCACGCTGAGCGGCTGCAGGCTAAATCCGCGCCGTGATATCCTGCACGGTCCCCGCTTTCCGCCGTTAACCGACGACTGCAGGATATCTACTGTTACTGACTCACAACTATATCTGCGCTGTGCAGTTGCATGCACGCTGCACAATGCAGAGCCCTCTGGCCCGACTATCACCCCCCGTGTTTCGCTCTGTTCCCAGTTCGACCGAGCAATGCCGCCCCAAATGAAGGGGCACGGGAACAGCGCTCGCTCATCCGCTGACGTTGCCCCTTCGAGACAGTTCTTCTGAGCACTCGGGGCAAAACGTACCGTCACGGGCGGCGTGGCATCGTGATACCGCCGCAGAACGCAAGGACAGCAGCGCGACACGGGCAAAATGTACCGAGACCGGCAGCCGCGGCGCGAGGCCGGTGTGAGCGCTATACATACACGCTACAGTTCCTGTAGATGTGGCGCCGATAAGATAAATATGAATCACATGGGTATGCTTTCATTGTTTAGGAGATGCGTGTTTTCATGCGAAATGTTATGATGTGGCCTCTTCTATATGTATAAGACTGTGTTGTCTTTTTGATTAACCCGCGCCCCAGTGGCGGTCTCAGCCAACTTCGCCCTAGTGGTGGTGGTGGGGGGGGGGGGGGCATATGTTACCACCCACCTCTAACTCAAAAACTAAGGGGGCTAGAAAGACGCAGTAAAAAGCAGTCGATAGCTCTTGATGAGTACGTTTGGAAGCAGTGGCGTAGACAGGGGGGGGCCATGGGGGCCATGGCCCCCCCCTTTCCGCCCAGCCGCCCCGATGGCGCCCCAAGTAGCGCTAACTAAAATAAAGTAGCGCCAACAAGGTGATTCCATTGGGAACATGAGTAAAAGATGAAATGCGAGTAAACGCACCTTACCGCACTTACCTTAATGCCATGACCCTTCGGATAACCCTTATCCCGCAACGCGTTTCCACGTTACGACGTTGGAGGCGCCCCATAATGGCTTTCATTAGGCGCCCCTTTTTTGCATATGGGCGCCTACATGTGCAAAAGGCATCAGAGACGCTTCTAAATGCCTCAAATGCGCCCCTTTTTCGCGTGAAGGCGCCCTTATGACCCCACAGGCGCCCCTTTAGACATCAAGGGCGCCCCTCTTTCGCATTGAGGCGCCCCTCTTACGCATGCAGTCGCCCCTCTTTTATCCCCTCACTCAGGTGCGGGTGCCTCTTGAAGGATGACGCCCCCCTTTGGCAGTTTGTCCGCCTCCGCACCACTCTATTGAGTGTGGTTTCGGTACGCCCCTGCTTACAACATAATATTATGAGGGCTTTTCCCACCAGTCTTACTTAGAAGAGCTTCACCTATGGTGGCAGCCCTGCCCTGCGCAACATTTCAGAACAGCCCCGCTTGCGATGTGGCCCCCTATTCATGCTAAGTGGCGCCCCTGCGCCGTCTTTTTGGGCGCCCCGGCCCCTATTCGTGTTAAGTGGCGCCCCTGCACCATCTTTCTGGGCGCTCCTATTTGTGTTAAGTGGCACCCCTACAACGCCGTTCTGAACGCCCCGCATCAGCCGCCACATCTAGGTCGATGGCGCCCCCTCGAGCCAACGGCGCCCCCTCAAGATCCAACAGCGCCCCCTCAAGAGCCATCGTCACCCTTCTGAAGACCGTATCCGCCACATCCGTAATTGACAATTGACGGCGAGCTCTCAAGAGTCACGAGTACTGACTAAAACCGGCGCAGTCACAGACGTCCAATCCATAAGATCATTGGCTCCCCGCAGCCCGTCACTGCCATCAAGGATCTTTGTATTTACCTACCAGAATGCGTTTACGGAAGGAAGACTTTATGTGTTTATGGAAGACTTAAGACGTCGTCGAGGCTATGTGAAGCAAAGCAGGTAGAGGCCGCCCGGCAAGAGTGGGAGCAAAATAATTAGTAGCCACGACTCTGAGGACGCCTGCGTCTGGTTGCCATGGTAACCGGGCAAATGCGCCATGCGGCACCCTGCCGAAAGCCGCTTGTCCCACTGCGAGTGAGCTGCGAAGCACCAAGCCAAGCACGTGGAGTCCAGAGCTCTGTCGTTAGTTCGAGGCCGTATATCGTTGGGCGCTACTGGTGAAGCGTGATGGACGGACCGCCATCGAAGCGAAAGAAGAAATCTGGCGCGGAGCGGCGGGCAGAGGCGAAGAGCAGTAGCCTCGCCCGGCTGCTGTCCATGAACCGCTCAATTTTGGATTTCGCAAGGTAGGTGAAAACGATCATTTAAATATAATTGAGCAGAATGGCGAATTTGAACTTCAGTGGGAGGAAGCGAGACTTGTTGTTCTCGCATTGTAGGTGGTCGGGGGGAGGGGGGAGGGTAGCACGTGGACTCCTTTTTGCGAATTAAAAGCTGCTGATGGCAAAGGAACCTTCAGCAGGTACCCTAGACTAGAGCTAATCAATTATTCTTCATCATTTCCTGGCCCGAACCGAACCCGAATGACTTTTGACGTGTGACGTTTCTCTGGAGGCCATGTTAGGCCAGAACGGCGGTTTGGTGTGTGTCAGTCAGCTGGCATTATTTGTGCGTTTTCGAACTTTTTGTTGGGCATGAAGAAACGCCAGGCATGAATGTTTATCTAATCGCACTCTTGTGAGAGAGTTGCAATGGCCGAATGTCAATTATAGGTATATACAAGTATTATCGCATATTTTTCATCATCGTGAGTTGATTTCATCCCCATCGAACATCGCGGATACGGTGGCGGCTGAGCGTTGTTAATTTGCATCAGCATTCAGCCATCATGTATGCCTCCCTGGAACTGCCTGAAAAGATCATGATTCTAGTTGACGTCTTCTTAACTGTACCAACTTTTCCCAGGCCTTTATCCCGATCCTCGGTCCCGGCCGGGCCTGCGTCGACCGACTCCCCGACCGACCGATGCGGTCCGTCCGACCCGTCCTCAGCGGCCATGACCTCGCCGAGCGCGGCATTGGACGCCGATCCAGACTCGCCGGACCTGACAGAGGCCGGCTCCTCGGGGTAAGTCTGCCCTTGAGACGGCACGACTTTTATGAAATGACCTCTTTCGATCTTTTTATTCGTCGCTTTTTCAAGTGCCGCTCTTTCGGATGCCGCTTACCGCGTGTAGCTACGTTGCCCAGGTGTCGAGTTAGAAGGGACTGCAGCTCCCGGCCTGGCGCGATAGGCGCCGAGAGCCGGCCGGTGCCCCTCTGGGGCTCCTGGATTCCCACGCACTGCTAGGGGATAGGATAGGGTTGATGGTTTAACACCTTCTAGCTCGGCTGCTGTGCCACGAACTGGTCTGCAATTTTCACATGTCCATAAAAAGACGTATAATTTAGAAGCGGTACTTGCACGTGGGAGGACAATTAATGTACTGATTCGCTCGTTTTTAACCCGGCCCTAATGTCTTACCGCTGTATGGCTGTAAAAAAAGAGTATTTCATTACCACAATATGAACTGTGTTCAAGGCATTTAGTGAATGCGAAATCACTATCTGAACACGCTTGGATAATGAAGGGAAATCGTTTGCAGGATTGCCACTCCTGAGCCTGGGACCTTCCACGGAGTATCATCATCGTGGACAACTGATATCGGCGAAGCGGTCGGTCGGGCCGCCACCCTCTCCAGCGCTAATGTCATGGCGCTTCTGAAGCCGTGGGAAGCACCTGCAGGATTCAAGTGGCCATACACCGAGAGGACGTGTTCAGGCAAACAACGGCGGAACTACCTCGGTCCACAACATCTTTCTGGCAAGTTTGAGTGTTTCTCCTTCTCGCCAGAAAAACAAGGCCTGTATTGCAAGGTGTGCGTGCTGTTTGGCACGCCAGCGGCGCGGGGAATCGGCCCAGGACAGCTAGTACGGACTCCGCTCACCCACTACCAAGACCTGACAAGTGAAAGCAGCGGCAGCCTCACAAATCACCTGAAGCAGCTGTACCACATCACCAACACCGAGAGAGCTGGGATCTTCCGCAAGCAGTTCGCGGCCGGAGTCGATGTCGCTGATATCCAAGACAAAGCGGCGGCGTCTGAGCGTAACAACAACCGCCGGGTCCTTATGCGGCTGCTTCGATGCATCGAGCACATGGGTCGGCTCGGCCAGCCTCTTCGCGGTCACCGGGACAGCGGCCAGCCACCAGCCGGCGGCGCTGCTCCTGCTTACGAGCAAGGAGCTTTCAGGGCCACGCTTCAACTGATGGCTGACTGCGGTGACCAGACCATCCAGCGGCATCTCGCCAAGGCGGGGCGGAATGCTACTTACCTATCACCGCACATTCAAAACGAGCTGATCGGCTGCGTGGATGCAGTGATGAAGGACGCAGTCGTCCGTGAGGTTCAGGCTGCCGAGTTTTTCTCGCTGCTGGCCGATGAAACGACCGACATCAGCTCCAAGGAACAGCTGAGCGTCTGTCTGCGCTATGTTCAGCCAGACAGCAGCTGCGTGCGCGAGCGGCTGCTATGCTTCGAGGAAGCACCGGACCTGACCGGAGCAGGTCTCGCGTCGCAGCTTCTTGGCGTCCTGGCCAAGCACAACATCGACAAGGACAAGATGGTCGGCCAGGGGTACGATGGTGCGGCCGCCATGTCTGGAAAAGAAAAGGGCGTGCAGCATCACATCAGCAAAGAGGTGCCCACAGCCGCATACACTCACTGCATGTCGCATGTTCTCAACCTGTGCCTCGTCAAAGCGACCGAAGTTAAGGAGTTGAGGGCAGCGGTGACCATCATGAATGCGGTTACAAACTTCTTCAACGAGTCCAACAAACGGCTTCTGACGCTGCAAGCCGGTATCGCTGAGAAGTGCCCCGAGAGTTCAAGATCACGGCTCAAGAAGCGATGCGAGACCCGATGGGTCGAGAACCAGGAGGCGACTGAGGTCTTCAAAGAGCTGATGCCAGCTGTAACTCACGCCCTCACGGTTAGTTGACATGGATGATTTTACGCTTAATTATGCCATAAATGTAAGAGCTTTGAGTTAATATGTACTAACGTGAGCGTTAAATATAACATCTTTTTTAATGAGTTCAATCAAAATTAGTTGGCAATATTCGTTGATGGCTTTATGCGATATAGCGGTTTTTCATTATAGTTCCGATCTACTGCGGAGCTACTGGCTACTGCCGTTGCATTTTGTGACTTTTTTACCACTGATAATGTATTTTGACACCATATTATTTAAACAATAAAGTAAACGGTACAGGCTGTGCATGGCCCATGATTAAAGTCCTTTGGAAATATTAGTTATTTATCGCCTTAACTATGTAATTAACCCACTACCGCGTGATTATGACGCTGTTCTTATGGTCCGGTTTACATTTCTTATGCGCTGTGTTTCGCAGACTCTGGCCGAAAGTCGTGACGGCTCTGTGGCCGGCAAAGCGGCGTCACTCCTGGACTCTGTCAGCGCCCCCAGCTTCCGCCTGAGCCTGGAGATCCTGTGTGTGGTGCTCGGCGTCACCAAACCGCTATCAGCCCGTCTTCAGTCCCCCAACCAGGACTTTCTGCAGGCTCTGGACAGTGTCACCGACGCCGTTGAAGTACTTCAAAGCCTCAGGGAAGACAGCGAGAAGTTCCACTCGCTATTCGACGGTGTGGAGGAGGCCGTGGGTGACGTGCCGATGCCTCGATGGGCTAAAGTGGCGAGCACGAGAAACAACTGCGCCCGCGAGTACTACCGCATAAACGTCTACTTGGCGTTCATCGACACTTGCCTCGGACAGATTAACGAGAGGTTCCGCTCCCACCTCAGCCGTGGTGTGCGCCTGAGCGCGCTGCTACCGACAGTGTGCACCAAGTCCAGGACCAGCTTCGAGGAGCTCCGGCCAGCGGTGGATATGTACTCCCGTCTGCTTGACTGCAGCAGCGACCAGGTCAGGCAGATCAACGAGACTAAAACTTATCATTTGCTCAGCCGAGCGAGAACCTCCAGAAGATGCTCCCACTTCCAGTTAAAATCGCATGAAAGTTCTTTAGAATTGAAATGTGCTCAAATGTTCGCAGTTTGTCTATTCGGTTTGAATGCCCGAATTCGTTACGAATGTAATGTAGACAAATTAGCAATTATTTCACCCCGTCCGTCGTTTCCATCCTCAGGACAAACAAATCCTTCTCCTCCACGCCGCATCCCTCGGTCCGGGCTGGACAGGCAACTTTATCTCATGCAGGCTGCTTCCTTGGAGTGGCACCGCTGCTCCCAGGAGAGTACACCCGTAGCCGGGTGCAGTGAGTACTTGGGGGGGGGGGGGGGGCTGCCGCTTGCCGGCTGGCCGGTCTATCCATTTGGACGGGTTCAGCCCCGGTGACTCACAAGGGTACCCGCCCAGACCAATGTCTCTCCCTAGTTCCTATCATCCTTCCGGTTCTGAAATGGTCTTGTCAGACTGAAAGAGCCTAACCAACAAAACAAACAACCATTAAAATTTTTAGGCATGGTTCAAACTAGCGAGTTGTTTGCGTGCTAAGGGAACCATGCCGCACCTGGACTTACCCTAACCCCCTCCTCTGCACTAAATCGTGGCTAGCCAATAATGCAAGCAAACCACCTGTGTGTGTTTGTGTGCACGCGTGTATGCAGTGCGTGTGTGTATGCTGTGGCCAGTGGCCTGTGCCTTAATGCGTGCGTTATTTGTGTGTGTGTGGGGGGGGGGGGCTACTTATTATTATGATTTTACTTCTAAATTCCTTTTCATCTGCCATGGAAGCAATTCTCACATGATTCCGAGATCTTATTAGGTCCGATACGTTCCCAATCCCCTTCCTGTCTTCCCTTTCACATCGCACTTCCCCCTGTCCTCGAAGGTGGAGGCAGAGTTCCGCCTGTGGCAAAAGCGCTGGCTGCGCTGTGAAGCGCACGAACGGCCCCGAACAGTGCTCGAGGCTCTGGCAGAAGCGAGGACGGCTGGGTCGTTCCCAGTGATCGCCAGGCTCCTTCACATCTTCGCCACGCTGCCTGTGACGACGGCGACCAGCGAGCGGTCGTTCAGCGCGCTCAAACGGCTGAAAACGTACCTGCGGTCCACATTGACGGAGGATCGCCTCAACGGCCTGGCCATGCTCTATGTCCACCGAGACATACCTCTAGACGGTGAGGCCGTGCTGAACAGATTTGCCTCCGGAAACCGGCGCCTGAGGTTTTAGGCATGGCTCTACCCGCCGTCGCGCCGACCAGCGACAGCCGACAGGCCAACGGTCAGTTCGAAGAAGTCGCATTGATGCGTTTTATGAGTGTTCACATGACGCATCCTGAGCTTGTATCCTAAGTAGCCAAATAGTCGAGATCAACCCATGGAAAATACACTGTGTTGCAAGGTGTTTTTACTGGATTTTGTTTTATGAGAACCCAGCGAATCTGGTCTCATACTCGTATTTTGGAGCACCTAGTAAGTCATGCAAAAACACGACGTGACTGTTCCTTTTGAATTGACGCGGCCCTCTCGATAGCTGACAATGGCGCCCCTCTCGTGGGAAAAAGTCGCCCCCCTCGAGCACTATGGCCCCCCCTTTTGCTGATTCCTGGCTACGCCGCTGTTTGGAAGTATTTCGGTCATTTTTCATCTTAGAACAATATTGGGGTCACCAGAGGTCATCAAAGGTCAAAATTTGCCGATTGTCATTATATTTTTCAGAAAACATGCCATTATCTCAGGAACTATGATAGCTAGAAAAACGCATGGAAAAGCAATCGATAGCTTTTGAACTCTTCTTCTGATAAGGTAATAGTCAAAAATGACCTCAGGTCAACGGTTTAGCCTCCAGAGGGCAAAAACTAAAAAAATAGCTGTTTTTACGAAGTGTTTTTCGACAATAACTTTTGACCAAAAAAACTAGGACATTTCTATTGCCAGATTCATGTTCCTCTCTCCGAGACGCGTCGAATGAACTATAATTTGACCTTGAAAGGTCAACTTCAAAATTTGACCTCAGGTCAAGGTCATGACCTGACCGGAAAAGGTCATGTTGCGTATCAATCGATGCGTCTCGGCAAGACAAACACAATAAGGCCAACCCCAGCGTTCTACCTTTTTCCAATCGAGAGTTATTGGCAAAAAAAACTGTTTGTAGCCTCAAATGACCTCGGATGACCTTTCCAGAGGCTATCAGCAAAAAAGACACCTTGGTCGTCACGGGTGGTCCAAATCATTGTGCTTCTGAAATATTTGGACTGTTCCGATGCGTACACACGGATCTAGAGGCATTTTCATTTTTCTCCATTGCCTTGTAATGGAAAGGTCACGCCACTGACCTGACCTTAGGTCACGCATATAAAAAATCCGAGATATATGTACAAATTGTAGGCACCCATAACATCATGCAATCCAACAAGTTTAAAACCTCTCTGACAAACACTGCAGGCTGGACATGATTGCAAACTTTTTTAGGCTTGGTCAGTTAACTTGACCTGGTGACCTGACCTGACCTGGGGTCAAAAATTTCACACATTGTCAAAAATTGATGTGCAAAAAGCTACTCCAAGCGGCGCGGCGCGTAGCGCCGCGGTTTTTTATTCACACGCAAAAAACGCGACAGGGTGGTATCATATGCCCCCCCCCACTGGGGCGAAGGTTAACCCTCGCCCGCACATGGGGGGTTGCCACCCCCCAGGTAGTCTTTCTGCTCTGCACTCAACATTTTTAGAGCTTGAAGCCTGATTTTTCGTATAGCTGCTCCTCTATCCTTTCTTGATGTCCACTGAAAATTTCAAGTTTCTGTGGTTTTTTGTTTCGGAGATATGACCTTGTTTTTCAGGTCATGTCATGACCCAAATGACCAATTCTCAACATCTTGCGTTGGCTATGGGCCTTGTGAGCTTTTGACACCTTGATTTCGGCCTTTTTGGCCAATCTTACCTCCAACCTATCATGGAACATGTTGTTCGACGATGTACAGGTGTCAAGGTCAGGGTCAAGGTCAACCTAGCTCATCTAAGATAATTGCGTTTAAGGCAAGATAAATTTACTTTTCGTGAAGTTTTTTGAATGCATTTTTGGTAAGAGCTTCTGAGATCATGATTTCATGTAATATGGACACATAAACAATCGGTGCACACATCAGTATACACACAGACACACACAGACATACAAACACATATCATTGACCTTGACCTAACTTGACCTGAAATGACCTCAGCAGCAAAAACCTGGTCAGGTAGTGAAACGAAGAGGTTCTAGCTGGCTTGGCACCAGAAAGCGGCATCGTCATCGGTATATGATAAGCAGCGCACTTGATATCCAACGGTGACCCAAAACAGCAACATTTTTAGTTTGACCTGACCTGGAAGGTCAATGACTGACCTGAGAAGGTAAAACTGGGTATCATTAGATTCGTCTCTTCCCAAAGAATCTTTTTGGTCTTTACCGCGAAGCTCTATTTCCAACAGGAACGAAATGGCGCGGGGGGGTGGCAACCCCCCCCCCCCCCCCCATGTGCGTTCTAGGATGGGAAAATGGCATGTGCGGGCGAGGGTTAAGCGTACGTTTGGTGTAATGCAAGGTCCAATAATAAAGGCGTTATCCGACAGGTGTTTTGCAATGCGAAACAGTCTTGCGTATTATGTTTTCTTTGCTTGTTTACCTTGTCCTGTCTTTATCCAGTCTCCGAAAGAAACAAAGCCATCAGATTGCCGACAAAGTTACGAAAATCGACTACCTTCTTGCTCGTTATTTGTGTGAGCCCACCTCATGTCACAGCAAGCACATATAACGATCATAATTGTTCGAGCAGACCAACTCATAGGAGACATAACCAGACAATGATAGCAAGTGAGGGGCTGACAAGACAATCTATGCAGCATGCCAGAAGCCGGCTGATAACCTTCGTTCGTTCATTGGGGTTTACGGGCGCGTCGACTGCGGTGGTCATTTTGCGCCCATAACGCTGTACTGGTAAAGCGGATATGTCAACAGAGAACTGACGAACTGAAGAAGACTAGGACTACCTGAGATACGTTATACTAGTAAAACGAGTATATCACAGGAAAACTGATGGATTGAATATAAGAAAAGATGCTGCCGGATAAAACCCAGGGTGAGTCATCACCCAGCAGGTGGCGAATGGTGGTGCCTGGGGCAATGCGGCCGAGGCAGCGTGTCCGGTTTGGTTCGAGGTGCGGGCAACTTAAGAGAATGTGAGTGACTGTGAGCGGCACCGCACAATGGTTACATGTTGGTTGATTATCTCCACGGAGGAGATAGCCATGCGTTGCATACGTATGCCCTATCCGTAGTCTGCAGAGGACCACTTCATGGTGTCTTTTGCCTTGAAAGCAGGACTGCCAGGGCTCCAGAGTAGGTTTCACCTTTCGTAGCTTCTCGGATCCATGGAGACGCCACTCTGTCTGCCAGCTAAACGTCGTAAAAGATCGAACGGCTGGGTAAAAATCGTGAGCCGGCAGAGGCAAACGACGGAGGCAGGGGGCCGCGGCCGCGCGTCTTGCGGCCGCGTCGGCAAGCTCGTTGCCTCTTATGCCTACATGGCTCGGTATCCAGCAGAACTGGATGAATTTACCTGCTCTTTCCACCGACGTAAGACGAGATAAAATGTCTTGTACTATCGGGTTGTCTGGATTAAAACTCCGTAAAGATAAGAGGCTGCTAAGGGAGTCTGACAAGATCAGATAGCAGGAGCTGTCAGACACCTCGATAAAACACAAAGCCTTCTCAATCGCAACGAGCTCGGAAGAAAAAACAGAGGCAGAAGTTGGCAAAGAGAATGTGCGTGTGTCATGACCAGTCACAAAAGCGCAGCCGACACCATGTTCTGTTTTCGAGCCGTCTGTAAAAACCGAGGTAAAACCATCATATGAGGCAATGTGTTCCAGCGCCCGTGCTCGTAGTGTGCATGGCGGCTGATCGTCCTTCCTGATGTCTGTCAGTAAAAGATCGATTCGTGGATACGCATTTCTCCAGGGCGGCGAGGGCGCGCTCCATGTGCGCCTCACGCCGCGAAGAGAAATGTTTGCTTTTGAGAAGAGAGCTTGCATACGTCCACCGAAGGAAGTCGATCGACCAGCCACTCTGTCAGACCGACTGATCTCTCGCGAGAAGACATACGGGTATGCCGGGTGCGAGGGAAATTGACGAAGTTTTAAAACATACCGCATGCCCAACATCTGGCGACGGAAAGATAGCGGTGGCTCGTCAGCCTCAGCCAGAACGCTGCTTGTTGGCGAAGTACGGAAAGCACCCGTAGCAACGCGAAGTGAGGCATGGTGAATGGTGTCAAGCATTTTCTTACGCGACTCGCTGGCGCTGTCATAAATGAAACTTGCGTAGTCGAGCTTTGAACGTACCAGAGAGCGGTAAAGTAAAAGCAAGGTTCGTCGGTCAGCTCCATACGACGTACGTGATACACATTTTAAAATATTTAGAGTTTTAAAACATCTCTCACGAAGAGTTTTAAAATGCTCGTTGTACGTCAGACGTCTGTCCAAAACAACACCAAGAAACTTTGCAACCGGCTGCGTGGGGATATTTCGCCCGTATGAGGCGGATTCCAAGATCAGGATCGTGGCAGCGGCGGCGGCAAAAGTGAACAGCCACAGTCTTTGAAGTTGAGAACTTAAGGCCATTATCCTTGCTCCACTTTTCTAAACGCGTCACAGCAAGCTGAAGTTGTCGCGACGTGTGCCGCACACTTGAGGCGGAGAACCATACCGCCAAATCGTCAACAAAAAGGGATCTCCCTATAGCCGTTGGGAGTCTGTCGCCAATGTCATTAATCATGATAGCAAAAAGTGCCACACTCAAGACGCCTCCCTGTGGAATACCATTCTCCTGAAGGTGGGAGCTGGACAAGTGGTTTCCAACCCTGACACGAAAGGTGCGATAAGATAAAAAGTTGCAAATGAAAAAGCCCATACAGCCACGGATACCATAGCTGAGAAGCTTCCTCAAGATGATCTGCCGTAAAACTGTGTCGTAAGCAGCCTCAATATCAAAAAAGATAGCCCCAAGGTGTTTCTTTTCGGTAAAAGCTGTCCTCACTTCGGTGTCAAGAGCTAAGATATGGTCAACTGAACTGCGGTGTTTCCTGAAACCACACTGCGCGTCCGTAAAAATGTCGTTATGTTCCAGAAACCAACTCAAGCGAGCATTCACCATCTTCTCCATTAACTTGCAAAGGGCAGAGGTCAATGAGAT